ATGAATTACGGACAAGACCCAACAGTACCCATGACCCCGAATCCCAACAACCCAGTGCCACGAGCGCAACAGTTCGCCGAAATATTACAAGCAGCACGGACCCGGGCGGCGGACGCAATTAAAAAATCGAACATCATCGCTAAACGCAACGCCGACCGCCGACCGCCACCGCCGACCTGTCACTTACCGCCCGACGACCTAGTCTTACTCGACACCCATAACCTCCGCCTACCCATTACTCCAAACTCCGCCCTCGATATTGTGGGCCATTCCGCATCAGCCACATGATTACACCCGTCACCGCCCATCTCCTCCTCCCTGCTGACTGGTACGTCAGCCCGTCCTTCCACGTCAGCCTGCTCCGCCCCTACGTACCATCCACCAGCCAACTGCCCCGCAACCGCCCAGCCAGCATGACACGACCGCCGACCGAGCCAATCATCACACCCGAAGAGATTTTGAGCCACCGAGTTCGTGACCCATGAGGAGCTCGAAGGATCGAATTCCTGATCCGCTAGAGAGACCGTACACCCACCGAAGACAACTGGGTTCCCCTGGAAAGAATCGACAACCACCCCGTCCTCACCGAGTATCCGCGCAGCCGAAATTTTCGGGATGTACACGCACTTTCATAAAAGAGGGCCTCCTTAAGGGGGGGGGGGAAGTGTAAGGAAAATTCCTTTTCCTTACTTCGCGTCCCTGCTCAGCGCGTACACCACTGTAGCACCACAGTCAACACCAAGACTAGCGGCGTGACAACAGTGGCCAGGAGACGCGTGACAGTAGGACTAGCAGCACGAAGGGAGTCAGACTCCGGGTCAGAAGGGGCAGGAAGAGAGGACGCAGGAGGAGACGGCAGAGGGACACGCTGTGGAGCAGTGGAAGGGCGCAGAGCCATCCGGTGCATGCCAGGGACAGGAGGAGGACGCTGACGCGAACCACGACGACTAGTGCTAGCAGCACGAACAGGCGACGCAGGATGAGACGCAGGCTTACGACGCTCAGGAGGACCTCCGGTCGGACCAGTGTAAGGAGAAGGAGCAGGCAGTGGGGAGGCGGGCTGTAACTGTGACTGCGACTGGATAGGCGGTGGACACCCTAAGGAAGGAGCAGGACCAGTAGAAGGCGGAAGACCAAGAACCTGCTGAAGGAGCGGAACGTAGTACGGCCGCGGCCGCGCAGCGCCTCCAGAACCAGCAGGGACAGAACCAGCACCCCCAGTGGCAGCTCCAACTCCAGCAGTACCACCAGCTCCATCAGCACCTCCAGCAGCACCAGAAGCGCCAACTCCAGCACCCACAGGAGCACCGGCTCCAGCAGCACCTCCAGCTCCAGCACCTCCAGCAGCTCCAGCTCCAGCAGGACCATCAGAAGCTCCAGCAGCGCCAGCAGCTCCAGCTCCAGTGCCTCTAGCAGCACCTGCGGGACCCGTGGCCCCAGAACCACCAGCAACTGACTCGTCAAATGTGACGCCCTGAGAGGACAGAACACGGCGCGAGGTGGGGTGGTAAAACTGCCAACCAGGCGCGTCAGGGGGGAAGCCAAGGAAGACGCAGGAAACATCACGGGAGGACAGCTTGTCCGCTGACAAGTCGCGGACGAAAGCTCGAGATCCCCAGACACGGAACGCAGATGCATCGCCCACCTTCCCCGTCCACCACAAAGTAGGTGTGGTCTCCGGCATGGAGACCCGGGGCTGGAGGTTCAGCTGATGCGCCGCGTACTGAACCACGAACGGCCACAGAAAATGGGGAGCAGCCGCATGGATCATGGACGTACGAGCGGCATCTATGACCATGCCAATGCGGCGCTCAGCAATCCCATTTTGCTGCGGAGAGGCCGGAAGCGTGAACGTCTAGCGGATGCCCTCCGCACGACAGAAGGCTCGCAGAAGGTCGGAGGAAAACTTTCCACCTCTGTCGGAGTGCAGACGCAGAACAGGAAGGTCCGAGCCGAAACTCTCGCTGAGCTGACGACGGGCAGCGAGGATCCAGTCGATCAGCACCTCAGTGACCTCACCCTTGCTGCACAAGGGGAAGACTGTGGTGTAACGCGAGTAGTCGTCAACGACCAGCAGAAAGTAGCGCTCGTGACCCTGGTCACGGACGCGGGCTGGGCCCCACACGTCCATGTGAAGCGTCTGCAGGGGAGCCTCCGTCGGAGGGAACTCGGAGGAGTGAGGAGCGGCGCGCTGCCGCCCCTCGATGCAAGGAACGCAGGTAGGGGCAGGCCCCGGGGGAAGGGGAGGGAGAGACCGGGGAAGACCAGTGACAAGGACACGGGAGGCCGTGCCTCGGAGACGAGGCAGGGAGGGGTGACCAAGGCGGTGGTGCCAAAGGAGAGTCCGGTGAGACAGGAGGCGACTACACGTTCGGCACGCGACTACAGTTCAGTTCTTCGTACCATGTTCGGCACGCGACTACAGTTCAGTTCTTCGTACCACCCCAAAACCGACGGACAGACAGAAAGAACAAATCAGACCATGGGAGCAACTCATCCGAGCCACATGCGACGACCCAACCACCTAGGAACAACAGCTGCCACTCATCGAGTTCGCGTACAACAACTCGCCTTCCGCCACGACCCAACAGTCACCATTTTACATGAATTACGGACAAGACCCAACAGTACCCATGACCCCGAATCCCAACAACCCAGTGCCACGAGCACAACAGTTCGACGAAATATTACAAGCAGCACGGACCCGAGCGGTGGACGCAATTAAAAAATCGAACATCATCGCTAAACGCAACGCCGACCGCCACCGCCGACCTGTCACTTACCGCCCGACGACCTAGTCTTACTCGACACCCATAACCTCCGCCTACCCATTACTCCAAAACTCCGCCCTCGATATTGTGGGCCATTCCGCATCAGCCACATGATTACATCCGTCACCGCCCATCTCCTCCTCCCTGCTGACTGGTACGTCAGCCCGTCCTTCCACGTCAGCCTGCTCCGCCCCTACGTACCATCCACCAGCCAACTGCCCCGCAACCGCCCAGCCAGCATGACACGACCGCCGACCGAGCCAATCATCACACCCGAAGAGATTTTGAGCCACCGAGTTTGTGACCCACGAGGAGCTCAAAGGATCGAATTCCTGATCCGCTAGAGAGACCGTACACCCACCGAAGACAACTGGGTTCCCCTGGACAAAATCGACAACCACCCCGTCCTCACCGAGTATCTGCGCAGCCGAAATTTTCGGGATGTACACGCACTTTCATAAAAGAGGGCCTCCTTAAGGGGGGGGGGGGTAGTGTAAGGAAAATTCCTTTTCCTTACTTCGCGTCCCTGCTCAGCGCGTACACCACTGTAGTACCACAGTCAGCACCGTTACCACCCGCAACCCTCGCATCGACAATCCTCCTGCCACCTTCGCACGTCGCACCCCGACCTTACGGCTCGGCCGGTAACCCGCGCTCCGGGCCTCCGCCTCGACATTTTCCCAACCTCAGTTCCAGGCCCGTCGCGCGTCAACCACAGTTCATTACCGTTACCACTGTAGATTCGCTATATATTCTTCGCTCATGCCTTCGCTCATTGTACTCTTGCTTCGATAGTGCAATTCTCGTTCGATCACTTAATTGCACTCGTAACAGTGGTTCACTTCGGAACTCGTCTGATGGCTGAAAAACGAAAAACACATACCGTAACTTATAACTTTCCAAAACAATGCAAAAAAACTTGAGTAATCAAGTTGGACCCAACTAGAACGAGGGGGTCACCATTTTAGCTACGGGCTTTAATAATGGTCGGAGATACACCGACAATGGAAGTTGACGATACGCTGAAATTAACATGGTAATGAACTTGAAGGTAACACGGCCTTGGGAATGCATGGCTGAGCCTGATGCTTGTTGCCTGATAACTGGAGAGACCGAGGTCAGCATAAATTACCAGACTTCCATTTCGAATGTTAAAGACGATACTGTTAAGAAGATCAGAACTCGGCGTGCATTGTAGCGAGGACGTTGACTTGTTCAAGCTCGTCAGAATCCATGGCCGCCAGATGGCGGAAAAGGCGGAGAGCATTGCAGGCAAGGCTTTCGTGGTGTGTGATGGACCCGATAGAGCTGTTACAATCCTCGCCGTGGTGTGATCCTTCAGAATCCGGTGTGTTTTATGGAGTGCTTGTAATGATGTATTGAGCCCATATGTAAGGCGTTTTTTCAGTTTTACACATCTGATTCCACCGCGTACAACACCGTTCATGGGCTAAACTTTTCTTTGCCAACATTCCATTCCTCTTCACTTCTCCACGAACCAAGCCACTCCAACGCGTTCCTCCTCACAACACTCCCATTTGTGCGGGGTGAACTTGGGTCCGAGGGGTGGGAACACCCCCAGACCATCCCATCCGAACCGAGCCAGGGTCCGGACGTCAGTATGGTTACGGGTTTCGCAAATGCTCGTGAGAGGACTGGCAGAATTTTGGCGATGTCGCCATCATCCGGACCTTAGATAGTGACATGACAATGAATGGGCCCTTACTGTGAGGTGTCTGACTTTTCCTCCAATAAATCCTTGTGACGCGATTCTTCATCCCAGTCGTTTTTGCTTTCGCACACAGCCAGGAAACGCCCAATCGAAGCCCACGATGGCGCCTAAAGCAACGCGTTCCCTGCAGCAGCTCCTGTCGCAGCGGTCGCACATGGCCAAGGCTTTGCCGCGCCCGTCGCGGGCTGCGTCCCGCCACAGAGGTCCCTCCAGCCTCGCACAGGAGCTCCGTGGAGCGGATGATGCGCCGCACGCTAGTAGGCTCGCTGCGATGAGCATTTAAGCATCCGTGCCCGATCGTTCTCGTCACCTCTTCTGCTTTACACCAGTTAGCACCAATCACTCCTCTAGCACCTCTTTCTCTCGGGTTGCTCCGCTGCACACTCCTGCTCTACTCCGATCGTTCTCGTCACCTCTTTCTCTCGGGTTGCTCCGCTGCACACTCCTGCTCCACTCCTGCTCTCGGATTGCTCGTGGCGATCAAGGTCGAAGAGCGAATGGCGTCCGCCGGAATCAGCAGCATGGGGAATGGCAAGGCCGTGCGTGCGCTGCTCGCCATCGTCGCCGTCATCGCCGGTACGCTCCGTCATTCGCTCCGCTCTCTCGCCCCGCGCTCTCATGCGCCATCGTGCTCACGCCGTCATGCGTTCAATGCACCACTCGACAGCGCGCACACGCGATGGATGCCCAACGAACTCGCTCCTTCGTCCGTGCCCCTCCCATGCCACATGCCGCTCCCTTGCAGCGTGTCTCCCCCAGCCGTCGCAAGCAGCAGCAGCAGCGAGCGTGTCGGTCCCAGTGCCGATAGGCACGCCGATGACAATCAACGGGCGCACATTCAAATTCTCGCCGCGCCGCTGTGTCAACCTTCCCGCCATGTCGCCGTCTCAGAAGGCGCGGGTGGTGGTGCCGTGGCAGCAGGCGAGCATGTCTGGCAAGGCTATGTGCCGCGCGATCTGGTTCTTCCAGGATCCCGCGTGCAAAGGACAGACGTTGGACGTTTTCGTGAATGGCCAACAGAGGTGCGCCTTCCATTCTTGCTCGCCTTGCTTCCATGCTCCTATGCTCTTGATGCCGCTCGTTTGCTCCCCCACCTGATCAACGATCGTTGCACTCGTGGCGCCCTCCCTCCCCCTGTGTGCAGTGAGAAGCGCATCTCCGGTGCAGCAAGGTCCGCCCTCTGCCTCGTAGGTGCGTGCGTCCCCTCTTGCCCTCTCTCGCGCCCGCCTCTCGCGAGAAGCCGCCCTCTCTCTCTCTCTCGCTGGCCTCGCGCTCTCACTGCACAGTCCAGTTCGCTGCGCTGCAGAGCGCACGACGCGAGTGGGTGGCAGGCTGCCGCGCCTCATCTCTGCATTCGCCTTCCCCCTTTCCCCCCTTCCCCGTTTCCCCCTTTCCCCCGGTCCGCACGGCGCTGTGCGGCAGACAACATGTGTCGGTATGCGCGCTGCCCTGCCGGCTCTGACACATGCACCCCACCCACGGACGACCGCACGGCAGTGACGTGCGCGTGCAAGAAAGGCTACAGCGCGGTCAACAACAAATGCCAGCCTCCCAGTGAGCTTCGTATGGTTTCGCTCCGCTCAGCATGGTCTCGTTGCCGCAACTCTCTCCTCCTCCGCCCTCCCTCGCCTGCTCTGCTCTCTCTGAATGCTTCCTTGTCCGGATGGACCCATGTGCTCACCTGGCCTCCCTCTCTCTCTCCTTGCCTCTGCTGCAGAACCCTCGTGCCTCACTGCAGGCTGCCCTGCCAACTCCGAGTGTGCCAAACGCACCAGTGGCACTGGAATGGAGTGCAAGTGTAAGGCGGGCTACAATGCAGTCGGTGCCACCTGTGTGCCAGCAGCAAAACCTGGCACCACCACAACCCCGTCCGGCACCACCACAACCCCGTCCGGCACCACCACAACCCCGTCCGGCACCACCACAACCCCGTCCGGCACCACCACAACCCCGTCCGGCACCTCCACAACCCCGTCCGGCACCACCTCAACCCCGTCCGGCACCACCACAGCTTCGTCCACCACAACACCTTCAAGCGACGCTTCAGAATCTTCCAGCAACATTGCAGAATCTTCAAGCGACATTTCAGATTCTTCCAGCAACGTTTCAGGACCTTCCAACTACGTGTCAGAAATTCCTCCTAGCTACGTTTCAGACTCTTCCAGCAACGCGTCAGATTCTCCTATCTACACGTCAGAATCTCCCAACTAAACTCCAGAACCTTCCAGCGGTGGCAACTCCGTACCATCCTATTCCTCTACTTGCGCCAAGCCAAATCAGTCGCCACATCTGAGAAGAGTTGAGGGACGTATTGCGTAGGGACAGGGATTGGTTGCTGTTGCTGTGCTTCTCAGACAGGTTGGAGAGTTAGTTGGTGAACTGTTCTCGGGAAGGTCGTTGAGCAGGTGCCAGGCAGGATAGCTGGCAAGTTCTCAAGAAGAATAGAAGCAACCAATCTGGTATCATAGCAGCACTGCGTGTTATCAGACCCTCCCTGTCCGGGCTGGTTAGATTTCTCCTGTTCGCACCCCCACTTCTCCCCTTGTTTTCTCTTTCTAGGTTTGTTGTAATCTTTGTTTTACCCATCTAAATATTTGTTTCTGGATCTTGTTGCAATTCTACACATGTGGTTTCAAATCATAGAGATGACCCTGCTTTTGACCTTTGTTTCTGGTGGCTTCCATCAATTCACTCTAGTTTTCACTACTGTCAGCACCATCACTTAGGAGCGTGATCAGCCATTTTCAATTTGCTGTTCGTAGCTATACCAGATTATATCATTACACAACATTCTAACCTTGTTTGTATTTGAACCAATAAGCGATCTTGGCGATATTTTGGCGAAGTCACCATTAGTGGCTGCATGCAAGGGAATCACCAGCAATTGTTGTTGTCAGATTCTTGCGATAGAGACTGTCCATATCGGAGACATTCGATTGCCTCGCGTCGCGTCACTTGTGTTTGTGTGTCCCGCGCCCTCAGAACAGAACGCTTGTCTGGCATCACATCGGAATTATTGTTGTGAATGGGGTCTTTACAAGATCCGAAGTCAGCGGGAATGGGCCCTTCCGTCCTGGTGTCCACAATAATTTTGCCGAGCACGACCCTCGTTCCACTCCCCCATTTTTTAGCAAACATTGTGCTGACATTGAATGTGGATCCTAAGTGTTGCGGAGAGACCTAACATTTTCGACTTCAATAATTATGTCCAATAAATCCATTTCCATTTCTGTTTTCGCCAGCGTTGTCACCTTCGCACACACCTCAGGAAACGCTTATTCCAAGGCGCGCTGGCGACTAAAGAAACGCGTTCCCTGCAGCGACTCCTGTCGCAGCGGTCGCACATGGCCAAGGCCTTGCCGCGCCCGTCGGGAGCTGCTTCCCATCACAGAGGCCCCTCGTCGCGCAGAAGCTCCGTGGAGCGGATGATGCGCCGCACGCTAGTAGGCTCGCTGCGATGCCCATTTAAGCACCCGTGCCCGATCGGCCTCGTCACCTCTTCCGCTTTACCAATCACTAGTAGCACCAATCATTCATCTAGCACCTCTTCCCGTCGGAGTTGCTCCGCTGCACATCTGCTACTACTCGAGCTATTGGAATTACTCGTGTCGTTCAAGGGTGAAGCTTGAGCACCATCCGTCCACCGGAGAAGCGGCAGCATGGGGAATGGCAAGGCCGTGCGTGCGCTGCTCGCCATCGTCGCCGTCATCGCCGGTACGCTCCGTCATTCGCTCCGCTCTCTCTCGCCGTCGTCGTGCGTGCGTGCTCCCATGCGCATCATCGAGTCCACGCCGCAATGCGTTCAGTTCCATGCTCTCATGCGCCACGGACCACACCACAGTGCTCTCATGCGCACGCAATGCATTTCCAATGAACACGCCCATGCCTCCGTGACCCTCCCATGCCACGTGTCCCTCCCTCTCTTGCAGCGTGTCTCCCGCAGCCGTCGCTCGCAGCGGAAATCCCATCGGCCCCAGCGAGGATTGCCACGCAGATGACTATCAACGGCCGTCCTTTTAGCTTCGAGTCGCGCCGCTGTGTCAACATCCCCGCCATGCCGGGTGCAGTCAAGGCTCGCGTGGAAGTCTCTCGACAGCAGGGAAGCGATGCTGGCAACGCTGCTACGTGCCGCGCAATCCGGTTCTTCCAGGATCCCGCGTGCACAGGCCAGACGCTGGACCTTCTCCCCATCATCGGCACACAGAGGTGCGCCTTTTATCCCTGCTCGCATTGCTTCCATGCTTTGAACGCCGTTCGGTTGTTCCCCACCAGACGCTGGACCTTCTCCCCATCATGGGCGCACAGAGGTGCGCGGCACGCCTTCTATTCGTGCTCGCCTTGCTTCCATGCTCGCCTTGCTCCCATGCTCGCCTTGCTCCCATGCTCGCCTTGCTCCCATGCTCGCCTTGCTCCCATGCTCGCCTTGCTCCCATGCTCGCCTTGCTCCCATGCTCGCCTTGCTCCCATGCTCGCCTTGCTCCCATGCTCGCCTTGCTCCCATGCTCGCCTTGCTCCCATGCTCGCCTTGCTCTTAACGCCGCTCGGTTGCTCCCCCACCTGACCAACGACCCGCGCACTCGTGGCGCCCTCCCTCCCCCTGTGTGCAGTGTCAAGTATGTTCCCGGTGTAGTGACGTCCGCCCTCTGCCTCACTGGTGCGTCCCCTCTTGCCTTGCCCCTCCTCCATTCCGCTCACCGCAAACTCCTCTTCCTCTCTATCGCACTCTCTCCTCTCTCTCTCTCTCTCTCTCTCTCTCTCTCTCTCTCTCTCTCTCTCTCTCTCTCTCTCTCTCTCTCTGTATATATATATATATCTATCTCTATCTCTATCTCTATCTCTATCTCTATCTCTCACTCTCACCCTCACCCTCACTGAACGCTACCCTGACTGGATGGACCCACGAGCTCACCTGCCCTCTCTCCCTCTCTCTCGCCCTGCCTGTGCTGCAGAAACCTCACCACCTGCCACCGGCACCACCGGCACCACAGCACCTTCCGGCAACATTCTGGAATCCGCCAACTCCGTTTCAGAGTCTGCCCGGGCCATGCTGGAATCCACCCTTGGCGTTACAGATCCTGGTACCGGCACCGCCATTTCAGGGGTTTCTAATGCCTCTATCGATCCTAGTACCGGTAACAACACTGGCGAAGGACCTGCCGCCACTGACGCTGCAGTTCCTGTGGTCTTCACTCCAGGCACTTTCACCAACGATGCAGTGAATCCCACCAAATCCCCCGAACCTTCCGTGAACGCGTATGACACTTACACTACTGCTGCCACCGTGCCGGGCTACTGAGCTGAGCTGAGCCAACGGAGGTAGGAATGAGGTGTGCAAAGTGATCGCCACAGCGCAGAATAAATGAGGGATATACCACCGTATTGTGTAGTTCGCGAAGGTACAGTCCTTCCTTGGTGGCTGAGCAGAGTGCGATATATTCTGCTTCAGCTGAAGAGAGGGCGATTAATTCCTGTTTGCTTGACTGCCAGGAGATAGGACCGATAGGCTCGAAGCGGTAGATGTAGCCGGTGCGGGAGCGCCTGTTGTCGGAGTCGCCGGCGTGATCGGCGTCGACGTACCCGATTAGCTTAGGCGTTATAGTTGTGTTCTTATGGTAGGTCAGGCCGATTGTCGGGGTGCTAACGAGGTAGTGAAGAGCGCGGTCGAGCTCCGCCAGATGTTCCGCTTCGGGTTTCTTGAGGTAGGTGGCGAGCTGGCTTACATAGTACGATAGGTCCGGGCGGCAGGTGACAGCTGCGAAGAGGAGGCATCCCAGTTTCCTCTGGTAGTCGCGTATGCCGGCGGGGTTGAGTAGAGCGGAGCTTTCCTTGTGGTTTCCTGCCGTGTAGCGGTATGGCGTGGAGATGACGGTCGGTGTGAGTGCGAAGCGCTTGGCGATGGTATCGGCGTATTTCCCGGCGCTGAGGTAGATCGCATCCTCCTCTTCCCGTATGTTGAGCCCGAGATATTGCGTGACGGTAGATGAGACTGTGAGTGTAAGGTCTTGCTGCAGCTCCCCTTCGAACCAGGTAGTGACGCTGTCGGTTGAGCCGATGTAGAGCAAATCATCTACGTAAACGATTAGCAAGATGTAGTCGGTGCCCTTTGTGAGCCGGTACATGCCTTGGTCGTGAGGTAGTTGGCGGAATCCGATCCGAATGAGTCTCGCGTGCAGGTACTCCTGCCACAGCCTCGGGGCTTGTTTGATGCCATAGAGCGACTTCAGCAGCTCACAGACTTGATTAGGCTCTCCGTTGGAGCCGTGCGGTAGCTCGACGAAGATTTCTGCATCGACGGGTGTGTAGAGGAATGTGTTGGCGACGTCAATTTGCCGCAGCGTCCTTTTCTTCATGGCGGCGATCGCGACGAGAATTCGCAGCGAGGTGTGTCGGCTGACTGGAGCGAATGTCTCGGTGAAATCGCGTCCATGTTCCTGGTCGAAGCCGCGTACAACCCAGCGTGCT